GCAGTCCAAGCAGAGTAATACAATAGTGAAAGTGTATTGCTTGTCAGCTGAGAGCAAACTGCCTCTGGTAGAAGTCTTTATTTACAAGTATTGCAGAAAAAGCATTTTCCAGATCAATAGTTGCCAACAAGGTACCAGGGGATGTGTTTGTTTGCTCAAGCAATGAAGCCACATCTGGTATAGCAATTGTAATTGCAGTGATTCCCTGGGTAAATTTATGATAATCCACTGTCATTCTCCAAGATCCATCTGTTTTCTACACAGGCCAAATAGGCCAGTTAAACAGGGTACTTCTGTATCCTTTAAATCCTTGTTGGTAGAGCATTAATCTCTGCAAACCATGCAATGCTATATTGCTTTTGGTTTATTATTTTCCTAGAGAGAGACAGTCTAGTGGCTTCTACTTGGACTTTCCAAACACAATAGCACTCCCACCCCAGGTCAGGCAACTGGGATGGGGTTTCTATCTGTTGCTGAATGTGTCTACACTCATGATGCATTCCAGAATTGGAGAAATAAACACAGGATTGGTTTGGGGACCCACGAAGACCCATTGTGACATAGACCTGGGCTAAAACTCCCCTGATCACCTATCTCCATAAGCCCCTACTCTGACTGGTGAACTGCAATTATGACTTGGGCCTCTGGAAATTAGTGTCAGCTTAGAGTTAGTGTTCAGTAACTCCTAAAAGTCTAGTTATTTTCTTTTCCCCAAAGCGTATTAAGTACGGTGAAAGGCCCTAGGTCTCCAGGGAAAGGCTAAGAGGAAGATTAACAGTATATATTTTTGGCAGTGCCTCAGGACCCTTCTTCAAAAAGATCTGGCCTTCCATTTATTCAAGGAGTTCTGGTTCTCTAAACTTGCTCAAGGCTGGAATTGATAAAAGGCTATGACTCTTTGTTTTTATGAGTCAAGGCTTTTATGCACTTGGTCTAGAACTCTTCCACTTATACAATTCAAGTGTGAATTTGTACGCCACCCATCTATTCTTTTCTAGGGACACCATGATCACCTAGCTAATGCCATAGGTCTCTACCAGTAAAACTATTTTGATTACTGCTTTGAATCTGATATCCATCATCTTAATTGGGCCCACCTTGTCTTTGGCAATTATCCTGCAATCCTGGGATCCAATTATTCTCATTGCATTTAAAAATTCCAGTTCATTGGCAATGGTTCCTACTGTAATTCCTGACCTATAGTGCAGATTGACCATGGGAGTTCTTCAAGGATAATGGGGCTCCCCTCACAAATTTCTGTCATGGTGAAAAGTATGTCTTCTATAACCTCCCAGAGTGAGTGAAGTTTTACATGATAAATCTACTCTAATATTTCAACATCCCTAAGCCTTTAGATCCCTTCTGTTAGAGTATACTAAATCAGGTCTGGAATTTCAACTTCAATTAGTGTAGGCCACCTTTTGGAACATATTTCAGCCAACCAACCAAATAAACCAGTTTGAGATCTTTCTAACTCCTTGAGTTACAACATTGAACCCAGAATCTGTGGTTGGTTGGTTCATATCAATAAATTCAGCCTGATCCTATTTTAGTTACCTTTCACCATTATCCCACACTCTTAATATAAATTTCCATACATATTCCACAGAATTATGTCTGTATAAATTGAAAAAAATAATGCAGTTCTTCTGGAGTATAGTTCACTTTTTCAGGGGTCAAACTTTGTACTTCACCTTTTGGGGCTTCCTGGGACTTGGGTTTTTCTATAGCTCTAGAGGTAAAGAAGGGTGCCTGTGGTGAGTCCTGAGAAAAATCAGCAGTGTCTTGTAAGGCAACTACCTCAGAGGAGGCCATCACAGGCTCCCAAGGCAAAGCAGAGTGAAATAGAAGAAGTGTTGCTTCTGCTAGCAAAAGAGACTTACAGAATTTAGGTTCAACATCCCAGCTTCATCAGGGTCTGACCATATGTCCCGATTCTAATTTTTAGAATCTTCTTTTTTTCTAATCCATTCCATTATTTTAATAGCAGAGCTTCCCTCTGAAGCTGGCAATTCAACCACTTGTAGGATGAGACTCTGGATTTGGTTTTGAGATGTCTCAGCTCTGTGGTAGCAGGAAACAAGTAATTCTTTCAAGGCAAACAGAAATTTTACAGTCAGTTATATGGTGTTTTAGCTAGGAATCTGAAGTCTCGAGTTCATCTTTTACTTTCCTTACTTAAAAGTAACCAGCTAATCTCATTATACTCATTAGTTTAACAAATATGTTCTAGGGTACTAAATATGTTCACTCAAAATGTGGACATGTACTTAGTCCAAATATTTTGTAAATATATGATTAGGAATATCCATTATTGATATTTTGGGTATTCCTAATGCTGTGGACATTGGCACCCACTTTATCACTGGAAGTAAAATCATTAGCGCCTTCAAATTGAATCAGATTAGAGAACCAATTGCAGAGACCACAGAACCAATTCAGAAAATACATCCTTAAGATTTCCTTCCTTTAGAGAGAATCTTAAAAGGAGCAAGAGAAAAGGAGACAGTTACCTACAAAGGAGTTCCCATCAGACTGTCAGCAGATTTCTCAAAAGAAATCTTGTAGGCAAGAAGGGGCTGGAAAGAAGTATTCAAAGTCATGAAAGGCAAGGATTTACATAGCAGATTACTGTATCCAGCAAAGTTATAATTTAGAATAGAAGGGCAGATAAAGTGCTTCCCAGATAAGGTCAAGTTAAAGGAGTTAATCATGACCAAGCCCTTATTATATCAAATGTTAAAGGGACTTATCTAAGAAAAAGATCAAAACTAGGAACAGTAAAATGATAACTGTCTCACAACTATCAACAACCGAACCTGAAACAAAAACAAGAATGAACTAAGCAAACAACTAGAACAGCAACCGATTCATAGAAATAGAGATCACATGGAGGGTTATTAGCAGGAAAGGGGAGGGGAGGAATGGGGGAAAAGGTACAGTGAATAAGTAGCATAAATGGTAGGTAGAAAATAGACAGAGGGAGGTTAAGAATAGTATAAGAAATGTAGAAGCCAAAGAACTTATATGTACCACCCATGGACATGAACTAAAGGCGGGGGGGCGGGTGGAATGTGGACGAGAGAGCATGTGCTGGTCGGAGGGGAATAACGGGGGGAAAATGGGACAATTGTAATAGCATTATCAATAAAATATATTAAAAAATAAATAAAATAAAATGTAGCCTGAGTAAACTAAAACAAAAAAAAATTTGGGAGGGAGTGAGAAGTCCCAGCTCCACACCAGGTCCCCACCCCCAGCTCAGGGTTCCAGTGCCAGGAATATAAGTCTCCATAACTTCTGGCTGCAAAAACCAGTAGGTATTGAGTTGGTAGAGGAAATTTCCAGAGCCCCAAACAATTCCTCTTAAGGAACCCATACATGGACTCACCTACTCCGTTATTCCCTCTGAGCTCCCACACCAGGATAGCTGCTTGGAAGGCACCAGTGGCACACAAGGAGAAACTGAAGTACCAGACATCAAGGTGAGAGTTGGGGGACAGCTTTCTCTGAGACAGAAAGGCAAGCAGAAGCCATTGTTTCTTTTCTGAACCCTCACCCCACGGAGCCACAGAGCTGGCCGGCTGATGCTATATCTGAGACTCCACCACCCTGGCTAACACAGTTTGCCCCACTCTGGAGATCCCCTGAGGCTCTGTCTCATCCAACGTACAGATGTTAACAGTGGCTTTTCCATGAATGGCTGGTCTTGGCTCATACTTCACAACTTCCTGAATCCTTTAAAACAGCAACAGCTAGCCTCAGTGAATCCGCGGCCCTGTACCACTGGCTCACAGCTTGGTTTTGCCTGGAAATGTCTAAGCCCAGCACAAGTAGCAGCCACCTCATATGGCTTTATAGCTCAGGCAAAGTGGCCCTGGGCAAAACACGGGTTGGGGAATGACAAAAAAAAAAAAAGATTTTCGTCCTTTAGAAACACTCCTGGTATAAAATTTTTTACCATTCAGGGTTCTTCAGAGATACAGAACCAATAGGAGATTTTATATATGTGGGAATTTCAGGGAATTGGCTTATGTGATTGTGGGGGCTCACAAGTCTGGAATTTATACAGCAGACTGGCAGGCTGGCAATTCAGGCACGATTTCTGTATTACATTCTTAGGGCGGAATTCATTCTTTTCCCAGGTAAACTTCATTCTTTGCTCTTAAGGCTTTTAATTGAATGGATGACACACATCCACATTATTGAGTATAATTTCTTTTATTTAAAGTCAAGTGACTGTAAATATTGATAATCACATCTACAAAATAATGTTGTGTAAACATCTAGACCAGTGTTAGAGCAAATGGGCACTATAGCCTACCCAAGTTGACATATAAGATTAACCATCACATGCTAATATATCCTGTTAGAAATGAGGACAGCAATTATCTTTGGGGCAGAGGAAGTAATGACCAGAAGGGGGCACAAGGAGAGTTTTGGGGTGCTGGTCAGGTTCTGCTTCTTGATCCAGGATGGTTGCATGATATATTCAGTTTGTGAAAATTCTATGAGCTTCATACTTATGACATGTGTAGATTTTGAAATGTGTATTTTACTTAATTAAAAAGAGTAAAATGTTAAGAAAAAAGGAAGACAAAAACAATGGAAACAAGAAAAAAGCATTACATCAGTTATGGAGAAAATTTTTTTGTTAGAAATTACCATATATAACTCTATATTGATCTTGGTGAAATAGATTTTTAAGGAAAATATAAACATAAGCACATATAATAAAACCTACATCAATAAAGAAATAAAGCATGCCTATGGTGATCTTTACATGGTACAATAGCAGGAGAATGACTAAATAGACCACATTTTGATGATATTTTGCAATGCATATGTTAAAAAGAATGAAAGAAAGAACATGGAGAATGTGGAAAGATCTCCAAGACATACTGGATATTTTTTAATTTTAATTTTTTCATTTTTTAAAAAGAAAAAACAACTTTATAAAGTTATACAGTCATTCTGACATGAATACTTTTTAAAAATCAAAAATTGGCTTAGTATTTGTAAATTTATTTTATTTTTGCAAATTTACTTTAAAAAGTACAAACTTTGATACTAGGTATACACAAATGTTTTGTACACTGTAAATCCATAGAAAGATGTGGAGGGGTACCCAGCAACAATTGTATTCTTTGGGCAGGGAGATTAGATTGTGTGGTAAAAGGTAACTTTTTACTCTCTATATACCTGTATTTTAAAAACACTTCTTACAGTAAACAATCATAATTATGTAAGTTTAAGAAATGGTCAAAAAGTAAGGAGACAAATCACAGACTGGGAGAAAGTAGTTCATAAAGACATCTGATAAAGGACTATTATCCAAAATATGCAAAGAAATCTTAAAACTCTACAATAAAAACAAATAACTGGGTTAAAAAGTGGGCAAAAGAGGTACAGATAGCAAGTAAGTATATGAAAGATGCTCCATATACGGTATCAGGGAAATCCAAATTAAAAAATGAGATATGACTATATTATATGTTAGAATTGCCAAAATCCACAACACTGACAACACCAAATGCTAGTGAGAATGTGGGGCAACAGGAACTCTCATTTATGGGTGGGGGACATACAATGGTACAGCCACTTTCAAAGCTTCGTTGTTTCTTAAAAAACTAATATGCTCTTACCAGATGATTCAGCAATTGTGGCCCTTAGTACATACCCAAAGGAACTGAAAATTTATGTCCACACAAAAACCTGTACACAGGTATTTATAGTAGCTTTATTCATAATTACCCAAACTTGGAAGTAACTAAGATGTCCATTCCTGACCAAGTCCGTCTTTTCCACTAGCTCTGAGCACTCAGCCTCTATCTCAGAGAAAACAAACTGAACCGTTCACCAATATTTACTCAACGCGGAGGAATGGGAATGGTATTTTTTAACTTTTTCATTTTTCTTGATTTCCATATTTCAACAACCAGCCCTTTTCGCGTTCATTAAAGCACCGGAAGGCCCAACCCTAGTTCAACGCCAGCCCACCAAGTTCTTCTTCAGGAGGCGCAGGCGCACTCGCCAGGGCCTTCTGGGGCCCGACGGGGGCAAGGGGCGGGGCTCGGGGGCACGTAGCCGGCACGCACCTGGCTCGCCGGGTCGTAGGGGTCTCTGTGGGCTCTGGTTGGTTCTCCGCTGGGGCTGGCCTCTTCGAAGCGAGTGCTGCAGACCGAGAAGGTTTGGGCCTGGCAGGAGACATGTTTGTGGCACGCAGCATCGCGGCGGACCACAAGGACCTCATCCATGATGTTTCTTTCGACTTCCACGGGCGGCGGATGGCGACCTGCTCCAGCGACCAGAGCGTAAAGGTGCGCGCGGGCCGAGCTCGGGAGGAGAGGAGCGTGCTGTACCCGCTGTTTGAGCGGAAGGACTGGCGTGTAGTAAGGAGACTAGTTCCTTTATTTAGGCACGCCATTGGTCACGAGGCCTAGACCCCAAGGGAGGCAGACACGTTCAGGCCAGTTTGTCTGCCCTGCTCTTCTCGCCCCTTATTGTAGGAACACCGCCTTCTCATTGGGCCGTGCTGCCTGCGGAAAGCCGCTGCGCGTCCTGGCCACGTGCGCGCTCCCCGGTGGACGCACGCCGAGAGCCGGTGCGCGCGCGGGCTTCGAGCGAACCTTTGATGGGCAGGAACCCGACAGTTTCCTCAGCTTTGTTCTCAGTGAAGCTTTATCGGTCCGCGGAGTTTTGGTTTTACCTCTATTAAGTTACTACGCTTGTTCACTGAGAGGACTGTACCGTGGGGACCTGTACCGCAGTCAGTTCACGGTGTGTTCTCTACTGCTGTGTGCCTCAGGCCTTCCTGGGGAGGTTGATCTCTCCTTGTGTTCAGAAGGGCGGCACCTTGTTTCACGATGAAAGAAAAATGCAAATTTATTTACATCCAGTTAAGTTCTTTACTTACTATCGGGAAATTGAAGTGTGTGTTTTTTAAAGTTACTGTAAATCTCTATACCTTTCCGACAAGCAGAATAACTAATGTAGAGGATATTTGGGATTTAGGAACCTCAGAAATGAAAGTTGGCGTATGAATTCTTTGCATTCTCGGCAATTCCAGAATAACTGAAAATCTGAAGGACGGTATTTCTCCTTTTTTTCATAGTCAAGTTTAATACCTGTAAGTCCCTCAAGTAAGAGTTTTCCTTCTTGCAAAACGGTAGTGCCGCCAAAACAATCGAATACTAAAGTGTAACCTGTAAAAGGTTTGGAATTACTTAAAAATTCATGTTTGTGGTAAACTAACCATTTAAAAATGTACATTACAGTTCAGGGATGTTAAGCACAACATTCACGTTGTGCAACCATCATCACCACTGTACATCTCCTGAACTTTTCATCTTAAACAGAAACTACCTAGTAACACCCTCTCTACTGCACCCACCCTCTGGTGACCTCTCATTCTTTTTCTTTGTAAATTTGAGTATTCTGGGTTTTTCGTACAAATGAAATCATACAATATTTGTTCTTTTGTGTATGGTTTACTTCACCTACTGTGATGTTTTCGAGGTTCATTCATATTTGTAACATGTATCAATTTCATTTTTAAGATTCAGTAATATTTTGTTGTATGAATGCACCATTTTGTTTATCCGTTCGTCCACCTACTTTTTGGCTATTGTGAATATTTCACTAACGTCTCTTAACTGAATAGGGAGTACACTTTTTTTCGTATCCACTTATTACTGAATGTTTTAACAAACTATAGAAATGATCCCTGAAAGTATAGTCTTTGAATCTTTTAGTCGATCTTTAAATTTGGAGGTTTTGTCTGTTAGAGTAGTGTTGCAATGAAGAGCTTTATTAATTTAGTTGTTTATATATTTTGGATATTTTCCATAGTCTCATTCTAGTAGACAAATTAGTGAATATTTGAAAAGCTTTTGAGGATAATTGGCAAACTGCTTTTTATTTGAGCATGTAAAATGTTTGTTTATTGTTCTTTAGAAGGGTTCAAGTTTTGGTTTTAAATCAGGCTGAACAACTTTCATTAGTCTGAAATCTCTGTCACCATGTCAAACTGGCTTCAGCTAGCAATACTTCATTAATTCCAAAAGATACAAGAAACAATTTTGAGTAAGAAAATCAAGCTCTGAGAACAGGTAACATTAGTTTGTAATTTAAAACAAAATGAGGGCTAGTGTTTCATATTGCATTTTACACCTTCCTCATACAGAACCAGGAACGTAATTTTCCTAACGCAGGCAGTCACTGATACTGGTGGACAGTTCCGTGTGCGTACATGCATGTATCTATTTTTCTCTCTCTCCCCCTCTCTCTCTCTGCCTCCTGCCTCCCCCCTCCCCCAAAACAACAAAAATCAGAGCATGTCAAAGGAAAAAGGTTTGTTATGGTATTGATCAAAACCCTTGGAGTCAATAGACAGTCTCTCTGAGCTTTGAGAATATTGTTTTGCTCGAGCCTATGTTAAGGGAATCTATTGTGTTCTGAAATAAAGAATTTTGGATAGTACCATCATTTCACACTTTAACATCCTGGAAGCAACAAAAAGCATTATTTTGTTTTATTTTTGGGGATAAGGGATAAGAAAATCTACAGATTTTTATTAAAGAGCAAAACAACTCTGGCATAGGAGATAGGCAGTTCACATAGTCAGCCAATGTCTGAGGTATCATTAATGACAAAGTCTCAGTTCATTCCTGTTGACCCAGCTGATCCTAACAAAAAAGGAAGTTTATGGCTCTTCATAGGAAATTCTAGCAGGACTAGATGACCCTAACCCTTTTTTCACATCCTTAGAAGCAGAGTACTAGAAAGTGTGTAATACTTTTTAAAAATTCTTACTTATTCTATTACAGTTGTCCCCATTTTTTTTCTCCTTTGCCCTCTGTCCATCCCCAGCTCCCACAGTACATCTTCACACCGTTGTCCATGTCCATGGGTAATTCATACATGTTCTTTGAGTAATCCCTACCTCCTTTTTCTACCATTATCCCCCTCCCCCCATTCTTTGGCAGCTGTCAGTCTGTCTTCTGTTTCCATGTCTCTGTTTCTGTTTTGCTTGTTAGTTTATTTTGCTCATTAGATTCCTCTTACAAGTGAGATCATATGGTATTTGTCTTTCACTGACTGGCTTATTTCACTTGGAATAATATTCTCCAGTTCCATCCATGATGTTACAAAGGGTAGGAATTCCTTCTTTCTTTGTGTTGCATAGTAAGGTATTTCATTCTATCAGTGTACCACAATTTTTTAATCTGTTCATCTACTGATGGGCACTAAGACTGTTCCCAACGCTTGGCTATTGTATGTAGCACTGCTGTGAACATAGGGGTGCATAAGTTCTTTTGAATTGGTGTTTCAGCATTTTTAGGATATAATTCCAGCAGTGGAGTCACTGAGTCAAAAGGCAGTTTCATTTTTAATTTTTTGAGGAAATTCCATACTGTTTTCCACAGTGGCTGCATCATTCTGCATTCTCACCAACAGTGCACTAGGGTTCCCTTTTCTCCAGTTCCTTGCCAGCACTTGTTGGTTGTTTATTAATGATGGCCATTCTGACTGGTGTGAGGTGATAGTTCATTGTGGTTTTAATTTGCATCTCTCTGGTGGCTAGAGATGTTGAGCATTTTTTTCTTATGTCTGTGGGCCTTCTGTATGTCCTCCTTTGAGAAATGTCTGTTCAGGTCCTTTGCCCACTTTAAAATTGGATTGTCTTCGTCGTATGAGTTCCTAATATATTTTGGTGATTAAAGCCTTGTTGATGTATCATTGGCAAATATGTTCTCCCATAGTCAGATTGGTTCCCTTTTAATTTTGATGGTGGTTTTTTTAGCCATGCAGAAGCTTTTTAATTTGATGTAGTCCCATTTGTTTATTTTTTCCTTTCGTTCCTTTGCCCTAGTACACAGGTGGCAAACACACATTGCCCTCCACCTTGTTTTATTGGGCCCCGCACCTTGTTTCTACCTAGCTGCAGTGCTCAGCTCTTAACTGTTACATTCGGCCCTTTGAAGGCAACCATGGGGCTGATGTGGCTCCTGGTGAAAATGAGTTTGACACCCCTGCCCTAGGAGGTATATTGGCAAAAATATTGTATGTGGGATGTCTGAAATTTTACTGCCTGTTTTTTCTGCTAGGACTTTTATGATATCACAACTTAATGTTTAAGTCTTTTATCCATTTTGAGTTTATTGTGGTGTATGGTGTAAGATGGTGGCCTAGTTTCATTTTTTTGCATGTACCAGTCCAGTTCTACCAGTACTGTTTATTGAAGAGCTTATTTTTACTCCACTTTATGTTCTGTCCTCTTTGTCAAATACTAATTGACCATAGAGACCTGGGTTTATTTCTAGGCTCTCTATTCTGTTCCATTGATCCATGTGTCTGTTCTTATGATTACAATACCAGACTGTTTTTGATTACAGTGGCCTTAAGTATAGGTTTGATATGAAGTATTGTTGGTCGTGATCCCTCCTACTTGTTCTTTTTTGTAAAGATTGCTGAGGCTATTCGGGGTCTTTTTGGGTTCCATATAAATTTTTGAAGTATTCTGATCTGTGAAATATGCCATTGGTATTTTAGTAGGAATTGTGTTGAACCTGTAGATTACTTTGGGTGGTAGGGACATTTTGATGATGTTAATTCTAATCCATGAACACAGTATATGCTTCCATTTATTTGTATCTTCCTCAATTTCTTTCTTCAGTGTTCTGTAGTTTTCCAAGTACAGGTCTTTTACCTCCTTGGTTAAATTTATTCCTAGGTACTTTTTAATTTAATTTAATTTAATTTAATTTAATTTAATTTAATTTAATGTAACTTTTATTTTATTTTTTGTTGCTATAGTAAATGGGATTTTTTTTCTTAGTTTCTCTTTCTGATAGTTCTTTATGATTGGTGTTCAAAATACCACCGATTTCTGAATATTGACTTTCTATCCTGCTACCTTGATGAATTCACTCACTAGGTTGAGTAGTTTTTTGGTGGACCTTATAGGGTTTCCTATGTACACTATCACTTTTGCAAATAATGACAGTTTTAATTCTTCCTTTCCAATTTGGATTCCTTTTATTTCTTCTTCTTGTCTGATCTCTGTGGCTAGAGATCAGACAAGATCTAGCCTCCGGTACTAGATTGAATAAGAGTGGTGAAAGCTGACGTCCTTGTCTTGTTCCTGATCTTAAGGGAAACACTTTTAGTTTTTGGCCATTGAATATGATATTGGCAGCAGGCTTTTCATATATGTCCTTTATTATGTTGAGGTATACTCCCTCTATTCCCACTTTGCTGAGTGTTTTTATCATAAATGGGTGCTGGATTTTATCAAATGGTTTTATCTGCATCTATT